CCCAGCCAGCATTTGCTGGCTGGGGAATTCTGGGAGTTGAAGTCCAGACATCTTCAAGTTGCCAAGGTTGAGAAACAGTGTATTAATCAAAAAGGCTAACCACATTTTCTTATACCAAAACTCTTGTTTGTTCATTTATTCGTCCAATTTAGGTATCATTCTCAGAGTGACCACATCCCATGAAAAGAATTGTATGACGTACCTTAAGTTCTCGGAAGAATATGCTACTCCTGGCCCACTCGACGATGGAGAAGAGGGTTTGGTCAGCCATTTTGCACATAAGCCCAAAAGTGTTGAGCTTTTCATGCTTGCTTCTGTTGGCCTGCTCTTGTTGCAAGTAGGCCATAATCTTAGCTTGGACTTGGGGCTCATCAGGCTCACACTTCAAGAGTTCCAAAATCAGATGAGGAATACTTGCTGGCGAGCTTGTTTGATGGTAACCATCCATGTAAGAGTAGCCCATTATCGACTCTGGAGAGCTGGTGTAAGGATCAGGGTACTCGGACTTGATAGCGCGGCTTGGAAAGTGACTGTAGCTCTGATAACCTTGTAGGCTACCATGTGGCGGCATTGTCATGCTAATTGGAGATGTTACAAAAGGGCTTCGGTCATAGTCTGTGGGAGGCAAGGCTGTGTGGTTGAGAGGTAGGCCTTTGGAGGCAGAATGGATGTTCTGGATGGCAGAGGATATCGTGAGATCAGTGGGCATTGCTTGAATCACCTGAGTCATGGCTTCTAGTTTGAGTCCATTCGCTCGGATGAGAGCTTTCTTCTGCTGCTTCAGGGCCCTGTCCCTCTTGTACATGGGCCCAAATTTGTTCCGGCCTCCACGCATTCGGTCGGCTCTCACAGCTGTTGAATGTAGCGGTGGAAAAAAAAGTTACAGGTATCACATTGCAGACATGATACAAATATAAATACTGATAAGAATCATCATCATTTTTGGTCCTTGGTCAACCCATAGCACACATTTATGTTGAGTATAGCTATTTAAGCCCTTCATGGTATTGGATCTGGTTACTTGAGAGACCGCCTGCTGCCAATTACCTCCACTAGACCAATAAGATCCCACAGA